AAGGATAGCAAATAAATAAATGATAAATAAGTAGGCTTGAATAAAGTATCACCCTGTTTTGCTACTTCTTCTTATAGCATTTGAAGATAGTGCCATTAGATAAATCTAGTTTCACAAAGTATTGATTCATTGGTTTTGAATTTCGTACAGTGGCCATCTAAAGTAACTCACTAAAATTGATGAAAAATGCGAAGATGGTGACAAAACCAAGATTACATGTCAAGACTCGCAACCAAAGGCAGATATACCGTATATGGTACGGGTTCAACAGAACCAATAGCTTTGGTCAAACCCTGTATATGTGTTGAGCAATCCACTAATATATACATACAATAAACTATAAACCCAGTAGCATAAATGGGTTGTAGATTCGGTGGCAATCACGGGGGGCAATTCCAATAGACTTATTGGAGGGTCCCATTGGTATGCACCCAGTATCAATTGAACCTACGAATTCGCCAATTATGAGTTGGGCTCGCCATAATCCATAAAATTCAAATCCCGGAGCTGCCTCTACTCACGACTACAAGGCACAATGAGTCTCCTTTATAGAAATACTTGTTCCAGACGATTCGCTAGCGGTTAAAGCAATAAGATTTTCATTATATAACGGGACTTTATGCATTCTACAACTACCAATATTAAAAAGTTCCGCATCTAAAGTATTGGAAACTCACTCTGCTTTTAAAAGGAAAGACACTGCAATATATCACAATTGGTCATACTATTTAGACCACCATTTGACAAAAAAAAAATTCTCTTAATGAAGACACTGTTTTAATGAAATGTAATATACTTATACAAGGTGATCTGTTGATGGATTAACAAGAAGAACATAACAAACAAGAGAAACCGTCAAATAGCTAGTAATTTTTTAGGTTTATTCAAACCTAAAATCACCAAGAACGAAACGGTTGTGAATTTTGTAATCTACCACATACAACAAAAAATTAGGGAAAATCTAGGAATAAAAGAGTTGAAAATGAGCAATCTTCATATTTTGCAATCAATTAGCCACAAGACAAATGAAAACGAAAGTGGACATACAAGAAGAAGACTTTGGAAGAATTTTATGAATTCAAAGATAGGGTTTTGGGGGCGAAATCTCTTAAAAAAGCTTCAAAATACCAAATGGCTGATTGATTCACCTTTCAGTATGCTGCGCGTTCGATCTTCGCCTCCCTCTATTCGCCGCCTTTGTCTTTGTGAAAAAGATGAGCTGATTTGGTGGAAACAAATGAGGTCAGTTTACATCCGGTGATGGGTTTAACCGCGGGAAAGCAACCGCACCGCCTAAGAGAAATACTATATTTAATGGATGATCGTGGCTTTGAGGGAACAACGGTCCAAACATGTGCTGTTTTGTAGCTCATATGTTTGGTTATGAGGGATTATAAACCTGTAATGTGGGATAGATGATGTGTAATAGAAATAAGAGGATATATAAGTATTTAAAGAATAAAGATGTCCTTAAAATAAGTAATGTAACATAATACTGTCTACATTGTTTTTCACCGCATGACAATCTTTCAAGTTATACATTAGATAAAAAATCTATATATCCAAGAGTTCTATTAATGTGTCATTAGTTGTGTCATGAAATAATAAATGTCCAAGATTTTGCATTCAAAATATAACTAAAAGCTTCAAATATAAGTAGGATTCTAAGGGTTTTACCTTAACAAAGTATGCATCCACAGCTACAATTGTTAGAGGTTCAATTAATTACGCAAAGTTTTATTAATGAAATGATTATTAATCATCTCTGGTAAGAATATGAGTCAAAATAAGTAGAATTTGAAGAAAAAAACCCTGCCTTTTGTTTCTCCATCTAACAACTTTACTATATTCCTTTTGTTTATTTAAGAGAATAAGCATTAATTTTTCATACTTGTAAAATTTAGTCAGGGTTGAAATAACTTACTAAAATCTATACATCCAAAAATTGAAATGCTATAAAGGAGGAATTTTCAAACCCCACTTTGTGGGATTACATTGGATTTGTTGTTGTTTCTTTAAACGAAGGCATATTATATATCTTCAAGAGTACCCAGTCATGAACTTAGAAAACCTGATATGGTAAAGTTAAGCATAAACTGTCAAGCATACGATAACAGAAGTGTAACACAGTGAATGAATTTCACAACAGATTTTCCTATATGTGAATGCTACGAAGAGTGTTGCACCGACAAAATATTGTAACTTGCAGAAGTGCAGGACCAGCTAAAACTAGAAATAATCCCCCATAATATTAATTTCAAAGGAAAATTTGCACAAACGAGAACTGTACATGTTATTTTTTCCACTAAAGCCTGCTCCAAACAACCATCACGGCAATAATAAACTTTATCGACACCCAACATGCAACAAAAAAACAAAAAAATACTATCCCCCTACCCCCACCCCTCAAACTCCCAAGAATCAGAAAATATCAACTATCCTATTTTATATTCAGGCTGAGCTGCTATTGATTTACTTTGTGCTGCTTTTCTTGGATTTGGATATCATTTGAAGGAAAATACCTAAACCAGCCTCCCCCCAGTGTCGTTTATTCATTTGCTTTTTGTAAGTGTCTTATGTCACGACTGTTTGCTGCTTGCTGCTATCTTGTTGCTTCTTGACAAATTCTTGTTGGCTAGCCACATCAACAGTGAAATCGTCATCGTCATCCTTCATGAGAAACTTGTCAACTTGAGCAGCTGCTTGCCGCCCTTCGGAGATGGCCCACACCACCAAAGACTGTCCCCTGCGACAGTCTCCTGCTGCAAACACCCCTTCCACACTTGTAGAAAAGCGTCCATAATCAGCCTTGAAGTTAGATCTGTTGTCCTTTTCTAGTCCCAGTTTGTCTGCTATTGTCTGAACAAAAGATCAAACACAAAAATAACAGTTCAATATTAATTGAATTTCATCAGAGCAAAAAAGAAATGAAGAAACGAAAATGGAAATCATAAGATACTAACCGATTCAGGACCAAGGAACCCCATAGCTAGCATAACCAGATCAGCTCCGATAATTTCTTCAGAGCCTTCTACTTCTTTGAATTGGAATCTTCCACTAGCATCTTTCTCCCACTGTACACGTATGACCTCCAACCCTTTCACATTTCCATTCTCATCGCCAATGAATCGCTTGGTCAATACCTCATAGGATCTCGGATCCTTACCAAACTTTGCAGCAGCTTCCTGATGCCCATAGTCTACACGGAAGATACGAGGCCACTGCCAACAAGAAATGGAAAGGACATATCACAATGACATTCAGGAAGTTAATTAAGAAAAATGTTAATAAATGTTCAATGATCACTTCATAATCCTAACTCATACTATAAAGCCAATTCTAGAAACTTCCTCTGAAAGTATAAAAAGAGTAGTTCCTTCTAATTTAAGCTGACAAAACATCATATTGCTCCTGAATTGCCCATCATGCACATGATAAACATAAAGCAACCACGCTAATTGAAGTGACTACTATGCACAGTAAAATGTAAGGTGCATTTGCCATGGTAATAACAGTAAGGTGCAAGCGTGCTAATTGAAGTGACTAACTATGCATGGGAAAGAGTAAGGTGCATTGCCACATAAAACATGGTCAAACCTGTGGCCAAGGATTTCCAGGAGCCCTAGTTTGTGGCGGCTGAGGGAGAAGCTCTAGATTAACAACA